GTTTCGTTTTTCTCGCGTTAGGTATCGCCTTGCAATAGCCCTTGGAGTCAGGAAGTTCAGAATTGTACTTCCTTCATTACTAGTGCGCTACTGCTGATGCCTCCTTGTTAGTATTCATTTAAATCTTTCAAATATTACAGACAAATGTATCACTCAGATTACTTTTGGGACAACTTACTTTTTATAAGGTGTCTCGATGAAGATGTCCCCACATTTCCATTTGTCAGTATGAATTAAAGATGAAACCTCAGGCTCAAGGGGTTAGTTGTCGTGATATTTTATCCCAAATTGATTTCTACTCTCCGCCTCGGTCCTACATTTGTTCCTTCAGTTCCATACGTTCACATTTCTGACAGACTTCTACCAATATGTGAACACATGTTGAAGCGAATGACTTGTCTCAGGTCTCGTCCGCCTCGTCCCAGACTTGCCGATGCCACCTGCCGCGTGTGCCCTCTGCCTGCCCAAGTCCGAACATGACCTCATGGACAGACTGTGCAGTAAGACTCCTCCGAGTCGAGTCAAGCCGAAGGTAAGCGATGTGTCGGCATTCAACCATTGCAAGTGTATCAGTTTCTCAGCAAAGTGCTCAGATTCCTATGGACGTAACCTTTAAATGTTTTGCGAACTGTAAGTTTTAAGACGATCCCCTTTTATCAGATGCCGTGACAACGGGAATTAGTATTCTTTTCAGAATAACTGATTCTATTTTAACACACGTTTAAGAAGCAACCGCTCGGTGTTGTGATCTCACTCAAGCTGAAGGCGCCTCTGAGCTTCGCTAACTACTGGCGCCGGTCCCTTTGTGTTCCTGTCGATCTCTTAGAATAATTATGAAGCAAAGAATTATGAAGTAATTTACGATGGGAAAATAAGAATAAATTTTTATTACTGTCATGGTGATCTGAGCACGATTTTGCATTTACGATGATGAGGGCAACGAATGATGACACTGAGGAAGTGTCGTACAGGGAGATACTGAACTTCCGTAATATTTGTAGAGACGTCACTTCAGCAGTGAAGACGTTTTCCACCTGTTCCGTAGTTTGGAGTTTATCTTTATGGGGTACAGAAGAAGATGCCACTGGTCTATATCTTGCGCCAGACAGATCCGGTCCATACCCTCCCACCATATAACATCCTATTTAATATTATCCATCTGCGCCTTTGTCTTCTGAGTGGTCTCTTCACTACGTATTTACCAGCAAAAATTTTGTATTCATTTCTGAACACGTCAGGGATGAAATTCTTTTAACAGTTTTAAAGAACTTGTCATGTAGCACGCTGGTGTGTGTCCACAGCTCGTGCCACTAGACACACAGATTGGCAGCCCCATGGTGTGCAGTGGTGGCGTGCTGGCTGGCGTGGCGTCGTACCAAAACTCTCTTCCCGTGTACACACCAATCAGCGATTATATAGCGTGGATACGGGACAATCAGAAGATGCGCGATCCAGGAGATGGATGGAATTGAGGTTGGAGTAATAAAAAGTGTTGCAAGTGTGTCCTGCTCAACGAGGCGTGGCGTAGTATTTTGTAAGAAGTGGCGTCAGCTCCGTGTTGGCCGTCTGGAGTTTCCTGATACCAGACGTGACAAACTCAAAATTTCTTTGCAACCTCAAAACTTTTAAACTTTTTGTTGTTGTTGTTGTTGTTGTTGTGGCCTGTGATTTGCTTTGATCTCTGAGAATTGGTGGAATTTTTATTTTCTCATTGGGACGTCGCTTTTCTCCGTCTGGTTACTCAGTCTTTGAAATGAAATGTAGTTGGAAAGTTTTTGCCCGCATATTAACATCAGTGTTTGAAAAAATTAAGAAATCAGAAGGAGACTTCGTCAGTCGCTGTTGTGAATTTCTTGTCAAGAGCTTGCAGAACCATTTTCTCTCAGCAACCAGTTCGGATATTTAGTGGCCCTTCTAGTGACGCAGACCGCATGTTGCTTCTGCTCCTAGCGGCGCAACCGCCAGGCATGGGGCATTGTGACTGTGAGCATGAAGTGCCGTCAGTTGCTCGACAGTCTTCATGAAAAGGCATTTGTAACATTCGACAAATTTGATGTGGTTCATGTATCAGCCATTTTATCAGATAGTCCGAGGTTCTTCAAGCCTCCATCCAAATCTTAAATTACTAATCATCCGTGAAGTTGTTTACATTTCATTAAATGAATAGTATCTTCTGTAGCTGAGGCAGTGTTATTTAATGACCTAACAGCCGCTCTTAATGACTTGTTAGAGCCTGTATCTTTCCCCTTGTTTCTCCTGTCACGTCTGAAGTTGAAGCTTCATCGGCCATTTTGTTATCTTCCGAGTGTCACGGAACTTTGTTGTACATTTTAAGTGTTGGTGTCGTTTGTAAGTTGCGTTTCATAACAGAATGTATGCACAAATATATTATTATATTTTGTAATGATTGATATACCGCCACGATTTCACCATTCCAAGATCCCGGTCGCCGTGTCCGCTGCTCGACTGCGCTCTTCGCATCCTTGAAATCCTAGAATCCGCGTGGGACAGAGCGAGCGTTTCCTCGTATCGAGAGCGGGGATTCCCCGCTTCCTGTTTGTCTGTTTCCCGGTATTTCCTTTGAGGTTACCAACATTTAGCGACACAAATGAAATTTGTCGATGTTCGCTGGTTCTGGCCTCCGACGTTTCGTGATGTAAGGATGCATCTTTTGGCGCTGCTTTCACGGACCGCTGAGTTGTGTTGACCCAACTCCTTATTGAGGCGAAATATCAAATTCTTGCAGAGTGCGTTGACAACCGTCTCTGGACCGGAGGAGAATTTATTATTATTATTATTATTATTATTTAGTGTTCTGTGTGACGACAGGTCCATATGAACAGGATCCTTCCATCCTTTTCTCGGACTGGGACCTGTTCATATACGTTCTTGGGAGATGATCCAGAAGTGGTTTGCCATTGCCTTCTTCTGTGTGTGAATGGAGTAATTGTTGGGATGCCACGGAGGAAAACTCCGTGTTGCCTAGACCACGGCCTTGCCCAACACAAGTTATAAATTCGAACCCGAGACCTCAGGATTACAAGGCCAGCGTGGCTTAAGCAGAGAATATTAGAGGTCGACACCAGTCGCTGTACGATGGACTGGACGTGTAGCTCGAATGTGGGAGAAGAATGCGTGTAGACTTTCGGCCCCGTACGTCGCGTTCTCATTTCCGTTGTTTTGTAAACACGTTTTGCGGTTCCGACACTTCCTTCCGCGTTGTCTTGGGGTTCCCCCCCCCATCTTGCTGCATTCTCGGTGCTTCTTACATGACGACATTTCAGGTCCAGGCGTTAACCACTCGATCGTCGTAATAGCGAAGTGTTTTCTTTGAGGTTCGGACTGATTTCTTAAACATTATTTCGACGCGCTTCGAAGGCTTAGAGTAGGGCCTGGGCGACTGAGGATAATCACGCATTCCGGTTATTGTTCGTAGCCATGACGTTGTTTCTCAAGGACAATGAATAATACGGAAACAAAGAGAGACTTGTTTGCTCCGTTATAAACGACGTTTCTGCTGTCATAAATTGTTGTCGTCTGCTTCCTGAAATATTCTTACAACGAAACAGCTGTTTCAGACGGAAGTTCCAGACTGGCGTCTGACCTCTTGCACGAGCCTTTCGGAGTAAATCGGCGAGGTTAGATTCTCGCTGCGTGAGTAGTTAACTTCTGAAGAGGAGGAAACGACCTTGCTCGACCCCGAGCGAGATGGATCTGTTTCTCTCTATCCTCCTTATCTGTTGATTGTGCAAGTTTTGTGCGGTTTATGGCCGCGACGCAAGGCAGATCGAGCAGATGCGTGGAGGGGGGGCAGGGGCGCAGGGGACGGGCCGAGTATAAAACCAGAAGCAGACGGCAGAAAGACACAAGTCGCATCATGAAAGCAGCAGCGGGATTCAGGTGAGTGCGAGGATTCGCTCTGACTTTGTATTTCTGATATTCGCACGTTTCTTGAAGCAGGAGACGCGATTTAAGTCTCGTTTTACGATTTCCCACCCACGAAGTGCATGAAACTCCCGATCCTCGTGCCTCCGTGAGTGGTCGCAGACTTTCCTTCAGAAAGTTTTGTGTCGCGATAAAAATTTTGCTGTCTGTGGGCTGGTCGGCCTTCGAGTAAGAACTGGAACTTCCAGCCCGCGGACCTTTCTTAAGCGTTCGGGAAACGCACGCACTCACTGGAGTGACCCCTTCCGCACGGCACGAAGACCACTTGAAAGAGGTGCCTCATTTCCAATCATTTGTATTCACGCGGAAAACACTTACTGAGCTAAAATTACGCGGTCGCCGTTTGTAAAGACTTTAACGCTTTTTTTTCCAAAGTTACACGGGCTATTTTAATCTTACGTTTCGGAGACTGACTGTGCCTCCATCATCAGAGTTGATATGGTCGTGAAGGAACTTTTCAGCATGCACCACCCGGTATAACGCACATTCGGTACGCGGTGACTTCTCAGTTGACTTTGGTATTTCTGTGAAGGAACTTTTCAGCGTGCACCACCCGGTATAACGCGATCCATCTGCACATTCGGTACGCAGTGACTTCTCAGTTGACTTTGGTATTTCATTGCACAGCGTAGAACGTACGACAGAGGAACATAGAGACGATGTGGTCGTGGCTGGTTTTAATGTTCCGTGTCGAGGCGGGTATTCGAACACGGAATCCTCTAGCTCCGAAGTTGGAGTGCTAAACACTCGGTGCGCCTGTACTCCTCGGTAAAAGCCCGCAGCTGGACGAAATTTCTCCGGGTCGTCGGGAAGTCAGAGGGCGGATTTATCGGATCCGAAAATCACGTTGGCCGTTTCTCGAATTCTGCACGAACTTTCGTATTGTCTTTTGCCTATTTAACGACGCTTCTTTCGGTTGTGTGAGCCTACACTTTTTCCTGACTGCGAGCGGTGCATCCCCTAAACTGCTTACGCAGAACCTACCCGAAGTGACTGAGGAAAACCACAATCGCTCTAAATAGGATATCAGGGTTTGACGGTGGCGAGTGTCAAGATCGTCCTCTGTGTCGAAACGCCGTGTAGTCTGGTAAGTGTCCCGACGTTTCAGAGGTGCTTGCTGCCTCCCGTTATCAGGGCGATGAGTAAGCCGTCTTCAGACACGAACCAGTTTGACGAGGCAGAATGAGGAAGTCTCTCGCCGAGATTCCTCCTCGTCCAACTGGTTTTTATATCTCAAGACTACACGGCCCGACAACCCAGAAGACAGCCAGCCGTCCTCACCTTCGACCTGCCCCGACTGACGTAGTTCTGTCGCAGCGTTGTGGTGGCCTGCCTGTTCCTCGCGGCCGGGTCGCCCGTCCCAGAGGATGTCCGCCCCATCTCGTTTGCCGTGACCGTCACGCCGCCCACCACCTCCCTGAAGGGCCTGATCGACGCCCATGAGAACATCAGCTCCGTGTGTGCGAGCATGCTGCCGGCCCACGGCAACGCGCAGGCGCAGAACAGCGACGCGCCGTACAAGGTGGAACTGTCTGACACGACGGTGGCGCCCGGAGGCGTCGTGACAGGTAACAGGAAGAGTTGATACACTGGCTCCGCTCATTAAACTTAAAAATAAGTGTAAACCTTGCCAATGCACAGCTCATTTTTAATATTATCCTAACACTACAACCAGGCTTCCTGAGTGTTCGCCCGCCTGAGGTGTCTCCAGCCTCGTCAGTTTCGGGCTCAAGGGTTCAGATCTCACTCGGGGCATGCAATTTTGCTGTGTAGGCACAGGGTCGCTGACGGACCGATCCCCCATCAGAGGAATCCTGCCAAACTCCGAAATCACAAGAAGGCCTTTCTTTATCCTCCATAGCTGCGCAGATTATTATAATAAGTAACAACAACAACAACAAACATGGCAGTGAGTTCCAATGGTTGACCCTTGGCCACCCACGTTTGCCAACTTGCTAGTAAAAGTGTTCTTCGCTCAAACTTTTGCAGTTGAGTTTTCTGGTGTGGGCGAGCAACAGTTCAAAGGTCTCTACGTCCAAGCCCGCTCGCCGCAAGACGTGCAGGTGGGACATTTCCTGCCATCTGAGGACAAACACGTGACCCTCTCCAGCTGCGGTAGTGGTCAGGACGTGAGTACAGCTTTTGCATCTTCGAATAACAACGTTCCGTTATATCAAATAATACTGCAACTTGGCAAGTTCATAAAATTCAGACACCATTCAGCCAGTTCAGTCCACTCCATTTCCTGTATTGGACCGTAATCTTTCTTGGAATGATTAATGTTTTCCACGGCTTTGCTGAATCACTCCAGTAAGAAAGTGGAATTGCACTGGTACCTTGAAACAGTCGGAGCCCTCACAACAGATTCACCCAGAAAGTCACCCGTTAAATACCCAGATATTTTCACTAGCTCTCTCCCTCCCTCCGCCTCCAGTACTGATGCATTAAACCCTCTTTGTCCGCAGAACGCCGTCAGCTACATCAGCTATGATTCGACACCCGCGTTCAGCTTCCGGTGGGTCGCTCCGGATGAACCGACCACAGTGACAATCACGTGAGCACATGACTTCTTTGCCTGTACGCAGCTCACATTGAGTGAGTCTGTATGTCCCAGGACCAGCGACTCTCGCCGCCTGTGTCTTGCATTGAAATTGCGAATAGCTTTTGAAGATCCACCACCGGCCCTTTGGAACTGTGGACAGACCACAGAAGACCTGATTTCTAATGAGTGGCTTCCTTTTCGCAGGGCCACCATTGTCGAGACTTTCTCAAAGTTCTGGGTTGCAGTCAGGTTTGGTTCCGTGGAAGTGAAGGTGAGTTTCGTGGCATTTGGAAAAGTATCGGGGGACTCCCCATCCACAAATGCTGTGTTATTCAGCACGCAGAAACATATGATTTAATATTGTATAACAACAAATTCAGTTGTATGAGTTGAAGTCGCTTCAACTTGATAATTGCTGTTTTCTCTCTGTTTCCAGAACTGAATCCACGTGTTTTGACAGCTCCAAGCTGCATCTCGTTACTGACGCATGTACCAGAACCCAGTAATGCCATGATCTACAGTTTGTCGCAACTTCTGTTCTGCGACGTCTAAGGAAAACAGTTCTTTATTAACTGCAGCCCAATTCCTCCATAACAGCAAGTCCATCGAGTTTCCCTCTGGAAGCCATCCATAATTTCTTCCTGCATTCCTGTATCACGTGTTCCATTACGCCGTTCATTAAGAAACGGGCGATCCTGGCCACATCTGTGAGTAGACCTGCTACATTTTGTTGGGCATTTTTAATTTCATGTATTCTGAATATATTACATTTCCTTCTGATGTCTGTGAGTATAATTTCAGTGGTTGTAAGGTTATTACATTTCTTAAAGGTCACTTCACGAAGCAAAGATTATAGTCACATTGCATTGCGTTGCACCTTTTCTCTGAATGAAGAAATTGTTAACGTCCACATTGCGTTGCGTTGCACCGTTTCTCTGAATGAAGAAATTGTTAACGTTGTCGCCCAGACACAGTGTGTTCTCTGTGCGCTTGTGTTCATAACCTGACAGAAGATGAATAACACTTAACCTAAATTACACGACCATTTTAATGAAGATGGTTGTCTTCTGGGTTGTAGCACCTTGTAGTCTGGTAGAAGTTTACCAACGTTTTAGAGGTCCACGTATCGAACCCAGACCAAACGGTGCTACAACCCAGAAGACTGCTCGATCGTGTCTTTGCTGTGCGGTGGTTGGCTTCGTGTTGCGAAGTGTGCTCTTAGAGGCGCAGCTCCCCTGACTCGGTAGTATCAGTATTTTGTTGCGCAGTTGATATATTCAGTGTGAATTCATCATCACCACAACCCTGAAGCAATTACTGAATTCTCCTTGTAGGTAGGAAACTTCTCCTACACAGGTGTGTTGCGGGACAGCTGCGTAGCAAACTGAAGGCTACATCACTGAGGTTACATATGAAGTATATATATATAGGAGGATGACGTTAAAATGTGCAGACGTGAACGTCCTTGAATTGGTTCGCATTCCAATCGAGTTTGTGGCTTCCTTCATAATCTTCTGGTACCAAAACAATGCAAATTTTTAACAAATGCAGGCAATCGGTGAGTCCTGCTTGACCTCGCTCTGAAGCCAAAAACTTCCATCGGACAGGCGGCGACTGTCTCGCCGAAGTTTAACAGTTATTCCCCGAACGCCTTCGTCCCACGAAGTCCCACAGTCTGAAGGTCGAACGCTCCCGACACTCGCCTAAGCGCCACGACGCAGGAGCGTATGGAGGGAGTGGAGGAAAAGCTCCGTGTATTTTTAAACTCGCACTGGGAATGTGCCCCCTACACCCGCTAACAGGAAGATATGCGAGTCCCAGAACCAGTCTGGAAAAGAGAGAATACAAGAGACCTCTACCTACCACGAACAAAATCCCGCGTCCGGCCACCTCGTAGTTCTGTTCACACCCATAACAAGTTTAATTGTTTCAGACAGCGCGATAATTACTTTTTAATTAATTATGTTCTTGCGTCATTCATCACGCAAGATGAATAGTTAAGTGGTCTAAATGATGTTTACACCAAGTATCACAGAAGTCGTTTCGAATGCCTCCCTTCGGAATCCTGAATGACGCCAAGCCGTGGTTATTTGAAACACCCTGTAGGCTCAGCAGCCATGATCGTCTGCAGTGAAAGTGGCTCCACTGTTGTGGGATGACGCATGCGCAGTGGGTGCTCGCTTCAGAACGAGGCGAAGGCAGTGGCGGCTTCTTATTGGCCGCCGCTGAAGTGCAAAAATTAGCAAATGCTGAGTGGAGTGAATTTTCCAAAATGCCCATTGGAGCACATGTAAAATAGTTATGATGCCATGTGCTCATTAATCACGGCCGGGTGGAGCCTACCGATCGCCACTGATACGAAATTAATTACTAACTTCAACATTCTTAGTCTCAAGTCACAGAATCTGTGTGGATGTCAGTGACTTGGCTTAACTGATTGAGCGAAGTTTTCACACGGGAGACGCTGATTATTCAAACAAAAGTCTGGGAAAAAGTCATCATGAAACAAAGAAAGCCTGAGTGTGGCTGAACGTGGCTTTGCCTGGAGACTTCAACGCTGGGTTGGGACAGAAACTGCGAAGTCGCGCTGTACTTGGTAACTCCACAGTCTACGTAACTAAGCACAGGACGTTGCAGTTTCTGTTGGTGACGGAAAATTCTTGCGTAATTCCCATATGACAACCTGGGCGATTTTTTGAAAGATGGTCTTCGCCCGCAAGTCCATAAGGACACTGCGTTTCCTTCCAGTGGACTTTCTTAAGATGAAAGTCATGGAGGCGTGGAATTAAACACACATTTTACACTCGCGGAAGTGCTTTATCATTACAGTGCGATGCTTGGACACAGGGGTGAATTTATAAGTGCAAACCCACGCAAGCGCACCAAAATATTTGCTTTGATCTATCCTGCAGTCGTAAAAACAGCGCCGTAATCGATGTTGTTGGGTGAATGAAGTCTTCTGTCATTACGTGTCTCGCGTAGGCGCAGATTTGTCCAGGTTATGCAACGCTCGCGTCCTTGGCCCACCGCCCACTGCAGCCGGCCTGCCTGCCTTACCAGTCTCCGCTCAGACATGAAGCAGTTCGCACCGCTCTGTTTGCTGTTGACCGTGATTCGTGCCCAGCCACGGGGCGAGCTCTTCAGGACAGAGCTCTTTCCTGAACAGCTTCAACAACAGCAGGTTCAGTTAATTCAGCGACAGATTCAGGACCACTTGCAGCTGCTGCAGGCGCAGGCCCAGGCGTCCAGGAGCGCGGAGCAGCAGGTCAGTTCGTCGTACGTGTGTCTGCATGACGGTCACAAGGCACAGTCTGCACCTGCGACATCTTGTGCTCATTCTCTGTTTCTCGCTCTCCAGATACTAATTCAGCGGCAACAGTCGGAACTCCTACAGCAGCTCCAGGATGCGCAGCGGCAGCAACAGGAACTACAGAGGCGCTTGCAGGAACAGCTGAACGGAATCAGGCAGCAACCGTTCCAGCCTCCAGTGCCTCAGGTACAAGCGATACGACAGTTCCAGCCTCCAGTGCCTCAGTTTCAGGCCCAGCCCCAGGAAGCGGTGCGGTTCCCCTCAGAGCCCGAGCCGGTGGACCAGCCCCCTCACTGCTCCACTGTGAGCGGCGAGCCCGGTCTCTGCCGGCCCCTCGTCAAATGCATCACGTTCTACGCCGAGGTGCCCGAACTCCGAAGGCAACCCTGCAGACTGCAGGGACAGGAGGTTGGCGTTTGCTGTCCTCTGAGGAAGAGGCCGTCTGGTGAGTGTCCGTCGCAAATCACAATTTCTGCACAGCCAAGAACGCGGTGGAAGTTACAAAGCAGGCAAGGCGATTAAGTCGCCAATTTCGTCTGCATAAATTACACTGCGCTGCGCGGTATAAGAAATCTGCCGTGTTCATGGCGTTCTCTTTCCGAAGAAAAGGGGAAATAATTATAAGGTCGCCACCGTAATGACTGTAATTGCGTTAAATTTACCACCGAGGAGATGCTTTGCTGCACTCGCCGAGTACGAGAAGCGGGGATAATGAGCGAAGATTACAAGTGTCTGTTGGCTGTCTTTGCACGTAAATCCTGAAGGCACTTTTGCATTCTCGAAGAGCCCGAGTCCCTCCTTTGCGTGTGTTAAATGTAGACGCCTCGCCCCTTCTCGTATTATTAAACGACGCTGCTTCAGAGACAGAGTCGTTAGCCATTGCTAAGTCCGATTCTTACGTCTCAACGGACGTAGCAGGAATCTGAGACTTATTACTGTTGTAATTGTATGATAATATTAAAATGGTGTGGAGGAAGTATTTGTGAGCGTTGTCGGTGAGTCCGACGATGACCGTCTTCTGGGTTGTGGCGCCGTGTGGTCTGGTAGAAATTTATCACTTTTTCGGAGATTCTTGCCAGGTCCAGGGCGATGAGTCTCATCGCTCTGATGATGGAAGCAGACAGGACCTCTGAAACTTCGGTAAACTTCTACCAGATCACACGGCGCCACGACCCAGAAGACGGTCATCTGGGCCG